TAAATCTTCTCATAATTTTTGGAGGTCATGGTCTCGCTAGTAAATGATTCCCTTGAAAAAAGTACATTAACTGTTTAAAGACTGCCATCGTTATTTCTCTTCATAAAGGTGGAGAGAAATTTGATTCCTGCAACTATAGACCTATTGCCTTGGTACCAGCACTATCAAAAATTATTAAAAGGTTTATAAAAGTTCGACTTATGCCCTTTCTCCTTAAACATAATATTTTATCGCAAAAACAGTTTGACTTTTTGTCTAATAAATAAACCAGTGATGCCATGTTTTCTGTGTTACATGAGGTATATCTATCACTAAATAGTAACCTCTTCTTCGCCACCATTTTCTACGACTATTCCAAAGCCTTTGGCTGCGTAAATCACGACATTCTATTAAAACAATTAACTTTCTATGGAATTCGGGGTGTGTCTTTGAATTGGTTCAAAACTTACTTGGTAGGTAGGAAACAATTGGTTAGAATAAAAGACACCGACTCTAGTTGTAAAGATATTGAGTGTGGAGTACCGCATGTTCAGTATTAGGTCCCATTCTTTGTTTACTTTTCATTAATGACATCACTTACTTGAAAATTAAAGGGAAAATTGTTCTTTCTGCTGATGATACCAGTATTACTTGGAGCAACTCTAATATTTCAACGCTTCATTCAATTATAACTGCTGATTTGCTTATAATCAAGCCTTGGTCAGACTCCAACTTACTTAGCTTTAACGTTGATAAGACAGTAGCATTATTTTATAAAGGAGTCATTCAACCCTTACTTTTGAATGAGAGCCAAATCAGTATCGTTAATTCCGTAAAATTTCTAGGTGGGCTTAAATTGTCCTTGCATACTGACTTATTAAGGAAGAAACTAGTCTCAGCTTGCTTTGCAATAAGATCTGTTTCGAAAGAACTAAATTTATCTTCTGTCAAAATGGCATATTTCTCATGGTTCGAGTCCCATCTTCGATGTGGGCTTCCATTTTGGGGTTCTAGTACAGCGGACCAATTTGATATTATTAAGTTGCAAAAAAGAGCAACTTGTTATCTATTTGGTCTCAAACAAATAACTCATTGCAAGACCTACTTCAAAAATCACGGAATTTTGACGCTTTCCTCTTTATTTATTTTGAAAACGGTTTGTTTGCTTCTCAAGTATCTAAACATTTTTCCCGATAGACCTGATCATGGCTACTCCACTAGAAATTCGGATTGTAGACACTTTAGCTGAAACTTCTTGATCCCTCCCTTAATAAAATCAACCCCTTCAGTCCGGAAATCGCGATATCGCGTCCTCGGAGTGTTTCATAAAATGCGGAGGGCGCGATATAGCGATATATATGTAAATGTGACTTCAATATAAACTATATCTTCCGCAGTGTTTGGGATGGCACAAAAATAACTCTGCACATGGAGAAAGGTTTATTTTATCACAATAAACCGTACGTTGTAGAACTGGTTACCTATTTTCGTAAATAAATTATCTCAAATATAACCTATAATTTTTGACTTTACTTTGTGCAGTCACACTATTATCCTAATACGCTGATTAGCTTAAGTCAGTAACTTCCTAATGTCCCAATCAGCTTAAGATGGAATTCCTAATACGGCGATCGGGTAATTACCTTATATGGTCACGAGTAGTTCGTTGATGACAGATAAACACGGCGGAAGGGGAAAATGATAATTTAGTGTATTGAATGCTGACCATTGTGAACTGTTAAACTGACATTGTTTTGATTTAATTTAATAAAAATAACTAGTTTGCGTAAATACGTGTTTATCTATTTTTATAGACGATATTTGTGGGTAGTACCTAATTTTACATGTCGTTTTAATAACAGAAGTTTTTAATTTGTGTTGTATGGATTTTCTATAAAAAATGAGCGACTCACAGCAACCTGGATCTTCAGGTATGAAAAAGCGAAAAGTCATAAATGTAAGAAATCCAAAAAAATTATGGGTTAAGGAAATGACAGAATTTTTATATAACTGATACAGAAAATAAGCAAGATTACGAGGATAAATGTAAGTAAATAATTTTAATGTGCTATATTATAGAAAATTGAAATATATATTTTTTAGTTCAAGTGGAAGATTTCTACAATAATAAAGATACGGATTCAGATCTTACAGAAAATGAGGAGAGTTTTATGCAAGAGAAAGCGGAAATGATTGTGCACGATAAGATTTTAGAGGATACAAATAAGATCCAGGAAAATTCGTGGAACGAAATAAGTGGCATGCAAAATATTCCTTGTATGTGAACAAAGAAATTATTAGTTTAATCTCCTGATGATGAACCATATGACTGGTTTTAGGATGCTAATCAATGATGCATTTTTAAAAACTGTAGTGAGTGAATGTAATAACTATGCCATTCGACTACTGGCTATTAGTAAAGGATCTGTACGATCAAGAATCACCGAATGGAAAAAAGTGCCTGTAAAAGAGTTCCTTGTGTTCATACGATTAACTTTAATAACTGGTACTGTCAAACTTCGTGAGTAACAACATTACTAAAAAAACACAGACTATTAACAACTTGTTTTTCAAACTACATAAGTAGAGAGGGGTATTTATTAATTATGCGTTGTCTTCATTTTTGTACAACTTGATCGGAAAATGACCAAATCCCCGAAGATCGTGTTTTTAAAATTAAACCTGTAATAGAACATTTCAACAATGTGATGAAGAAAGTTTACTATCCTAATAGACAACTTTCGTTAAATGTGTCAATGGTCTTGTGGAAAGAAAGACCTATCTTCAAACAATATCTTCCAAATAAGCGCCACAAATATGGAATCAAACTGTATATGTTGACGGAACCCAGTGGACTTGAAATTTGTTGTTTGCGGTGGCGAACGTAACTTGTTAGGAGGTAAAGACCATACAAAAAAAGTAGTAATACATTTACTGAGCGATTACTTAAACAAAGGGCCCCTCAGTTTTCATGGCTAACTATTATAATAGTCTCCAGTTGACAAAAATGTTACTAGATAGAAAAACTTACTGCACGGGAACGCTACGTAAAGATAGAAAGGGTTCTCTAAACGAAGATATTCGTGCGAAATTAAAGAAACGTGTAAGCCAGGCTATATATCTCGATATACATAATGACTGGTAAGTGGTGTGACAAGAGGGATGTAATTTAGATATCTACAGAATTTAAAAATCGTATGATGATAGTGACCAATCGAAGAAATGTTGAAAAGGAAACACCACAACCTATCGTCAAATATAATAAGTATATGGTTGGTGTAGATTATGAGGATCAACCAATGGCGTACTATCCAGTAATTTGAAAGACTATACGGTGGTACAAAAAATTAGGAATCCACATTTTTCAAACGATGATGATTAATTTACATATATTATATAATAAGTATCACGTTCAAAAAATGAGTCTTGGTAAATGTAGAACGTCAGTTTTAGAAAGGTTGTTACCAGAACCCAAATCAGTAACTATAAGTAACGTGAAAGGTTCCCAACATATGTTTACTAAAATTAATACAACAAATGGAAAAGATCACACCACGCCTAAAAAATGCCGTCTCTGCACAAGAAAAAAGTTACGAAAAGACATTTTGTTTCACTGTCTTCCTTGTCCAGACCACCCCGGACTATGTATGGCTGCATGTTTTGTTGAGTACCATAAAGAAAATTAGTTGAATTTTACGTATTATTTGCTTTTGTTTTAATATTATTTGATATAAATTTCTGTTTTTTATTGTATCTTTTGTAATAAAAAAATAAGTTTGCATATTTCTTTTTAGTATTATTTAACCTTGACACAATATTTTTGAGCTAGAAAATAAATTCGGTGAAGCATAATTAGTTTTAAATGAAATCGTAGGCTTCCACGGCCAGAGTCAGAATTATAGTTTATTCGTCTTCCGGGTTTGGACCGTGTCATTTGTGAGTGACCCAAAAGTGGGTTCATCTCGACGTTTCGCTACAATTGTATGTAGCTTCTTAAGGAGAACAAAGAAAAAGAAAGAAAAAGAAGACAGGAAGATGGGTAGTTAGGAACGGTAACTCAGTTACTCAACGCAACCAGAGGCGAATACTAACTACCAAGATGGGCATTTGGTCACAGTAACTCAACCTCTGGCTGCGTTAAGTAGTTGAGTTACTGTGACCAAATGCCCATCTGGGTAGTTAGTATTCGCCTTTGGTTGCGTTGAGTAACTGAGTTACCGTTGCTAACTACCCATCTTCCTGTCTTCTTTTTCTTTCTTTTTCTTTGTTCTTCTGAAGAAGCTCCATACAATTGTAGCGAAACGTCGAAATGAACCCACTTTTCGGTCACTCACAAATGACACGGTCCAAACCCGAAAGACGAATAAACCATAATTAGTTTTTATTAACTTTTGTTGGGCCGCGAATTCGCGCTTTCCGCAGTTTATAAAAATAAAAAATTTTCAGAAATGTGCGGAAAACGCGAATTCGCGTCTAACAAAAAGTAAGTAAAATGGCCATCATTAGTAGATTCCCAACCGATTTCCTTCACATAATTCATAAATCATATTTGAGTATACGCAAAAATAATATTTCCGCACAGGTCCGTAGTGAAAGGGATACAAGCGGTCTGGTTGTAGTAAAGATTTTTGAGCAATCTAATATCATATTCAAAAGCATAGTGAGTGAAAACTTTGGCATAATTTTAACAATCAACTCTGTATCAACTCAACCAAATTATTGACATAAACTTGACTGTATTTTAAAGAACAATATTTGTCTGTAAAGGAAATGATGGACCTTCACCGTATATGAAATGGAATAAAATAGTTATATAATGTGCCATTTATTTAAATAAGAAATAAAATACAACAGTGCACAATGGACTTTTACATTACTGATACTTTATATTAATTCATTTGACCAAGAATTAATACAAAGTAACCACGTGGCTGACTCATCACTTAACCTATTTCTATGTTTTCTAATTACTAACGATGCTTTAGAAAATGATCTCTCAGCAGGTACTGAAGTTGCAGGTATTAAAAGAAAACCACGGGCCATCTTCGATAAAGTTGGATATTCTGTCTCATGCTTCCTCCACTCCATAAAATGTCTTCCGAGCTGGCGGCTCTGGGTTTACTTAGGTACTCCTCCAACTCGTCAATAACTAACCCTTGATGACAAGATCCAGATGAAGTCGAGGAACATTCATACAGTTTCTCAAAGTCTATTGAGTATTCATCTTCATCATATTCAGATACTTTCTTTTCATTTCTTGGTGATTCTAGAGATTTAATAACTGAGTGTAGAGTTTTATATTCTTTATAAAGTTCATTAAATTTTCGCAGGCTTTCTGTTTTAATTTGCTTCCCCCATAACGTCATGGTAAAAGTCTGAGCCTCATGCCTTGGGTCTAAAATTAAAGAGATACAATAAATCCAGTTGCTTTTCTTATAATGTTTAAGCATTTTGTCTCGAGCTGCTCGAAAACCAAGAATGAGCCTTTTATCCACTTCTGATCGATTAGGTTTCTCATCTAATTGTTTTACCATGAATTCAATTTTATCGATCAAGAGATTGAATAATACAATTACTAGAGGTAATGTAACATATTTTTCCTCACCAAGTTTCGTTGACAAAAGTTTAAAGTTTATTAGAAATTTAAAGTTTAAATGTAATTGTGTGATAAGTATATTTTTTCATACCTGTCAACTTTTTCCAGCGGTTATTAAAAAGCTTGTGATATCTCCACCTAATTTTGGTTTTTCAGGAACATATATTTAAGATTCCTTTTTGTGGAAGGATATTAGATACTTCCTTAAACCTGAAGTACGCAAAAATAATATTTCCGCACAGGTCTACATTGCTATATTATTACCGCAGTGAAAGGGATACAAGTGGTCTGGTTGTAGTAAAGATTTTTGGGCAATCTAATATCATATTCAAAAGCATAGTGAGTGAACACTTTGGCATAATTTTAACAATAATTAACTCTGTAAATGAACTGGAAAAAAAATAGCAAAACTGGAAAGGTGTATACTACCTGCAGTTGTAGGAAGCACCGTAATTGGAAAAAATCTAGTTTAAAAAGATAATTAAAATACACATTCAATAAGCGCTGAATTTATTTCTTACAATATTATAAAAATTTGTAAATTACAAACAAAAAGCAGATTTTACAAAAATATTATCATTTCAATTCAATTTTAAAGTTTTTTTGTTAAACAGTTCGGTATCTTTCTCATTTTAAGTATACTATTATCATATAGATAGAACCTTGTGATAGAACCTTGAAATATAAATTATGCATTATAATATTTAAATTTATTAAGTACCACATTGTTATTATTGAGTGCCTTTTATAAAAAGTAGGACTTTTACAGCTTATCTTAGCACAGATTCTTAAATAACGGATATGATACTTACTTTATATTTAATATTGTATAAAAATTTGAATCGTAATAGTTTTGTTTTTTTATATACAGAGTTGGCCACACAAAAAAGTCCACCCTGATATTTGTTAATATTATTTGGATTTTGTGAAAATTCTGAAGCAGGTCGATCTGTTATGTATTAATCCCACCTATTTAAGTACGACAAACTCTAGTTACTGTAAATAAGAAATAGACCGCGTATGATTTTTCTTTTCAAATTAACTCTAAATACTGAAATACGTATACGATGCTGTTTGAAATACTGAAAGCTTCATTCATTTGTTTGTGTTGTTTCTTTTTAATCGAAGGTAATTTGTTCTCTGACCACAGGTACAGCACATATAATGTAAACAAAGGTACAACACAGTGTCGTACCTTTGAAGGACTTGTCAAAAAAATTTCAAAATTTGTTTTTAACGGTAACTGAAACGAATCCATAGACCGATACTTTGTTATTTATAGATAAAGGTTGTATTTACTTGTGTATGCTTCAGTGGTCGCTATAAAGCAATTTTTAAACATTTTGAGCCAAACGACATAGAATTTGCCCAAAGGTATACTATCCCCTACTGTATGTCAGTGGTTAGGGGTTAACAAATATGGTTTAGAATAAAAATAACACTTCGTATCTAATCAGTACTTGAAAATTTCATGTAAAAACTAGTAAAATGCATGAGGTGCCTATGGGGCCTATAAAATCTTATGCTTCACTACAGTAAATTCAACTTCAAGTTACTGACAGAATCAACACAAGTCACCGCGTGATATTCGAGTCTACACGTGACGAACGCCTTGCTATTGGCGGACTTGGTTTTTCCGCTCCGTCCTCTGTCGAATGCGAAATGGACCAGTAATTTTTGTGCAAAGCTATTTGTTGGTTTGTTTAATTGATAATCGTTAGCTCGTGTGAGGATAGTGCAAAGCATTTTTAAGAACATTTAATTATAGTCGATACAAACTTTTTCCCCACTTTAAAATAATTCCTGTTAGTAAAATAAAGCATTTATAATAGCCATAAGATACGATATAATATCGACCTGCACTGATATGTTTAATGGATAAAAATTATTTAGTATGTTAAAATTATGAAAAACAAGAGGTGCCCTATATAATTTTGTCCTGACTATAATTAATTAATAATTCAAACTCTTTGCGGCACGAGATTTTTTAAATTTTCTACAATGGACCCTTGGGGGAAAGATTCAATTGCACACGTAAAACGTAAAATGACCTCACTTTTCAAGAAACAACTGATAACCCGATAACTATACCGTGGGAATTTTAAGAATTAAAGAAAACACTTAATAGGGACAGAGGGAATAAGTAATACAAACCACTTGCGTAGGTGTAACTTGATAAAAATAGATTAATAAGTGATTCATTTTGTGGACTACTGTACAACATGTAGCAAAAATTTGGTGGTTCAAATTTTAATCTAATATGCTGAAAAGAGTTGAAAAATACCTTTTTTTATATATTAAAAAAAAATCAACCCGGTCAGATATTGTTTTAGATTTTTTGGATAATTCTAAACAAAAATTTATTTTGTAATTTTTTTTAAGTTGATCGTGTTTGAGTTATAAATAATTTAAAACTGGAAGACAAGGAAGAATTGACCGACGAACAAGAATTGACAGACGAAAAAAAAATTGACACACGAAGAACGATAGATGACGATTTTTAAGGCTCAAAATCATAAGTAAAAAACATCACATTTAACAAAGCGGTGTAGGTAAACCTTATATCGGATTCTCTTCTATAAAAGTAAATTTGAAAATGCCCATTTTGTTATTTTAGTTGAGAAAAGTATAATAAATCCATTTATTTAATATTTCTGATACGGAGTCGGCAAATGAAAATGAGGAACTGTTAACGCTAAGTCCTGCCAGGAAAAGAGATAAGAAAAATCACGTAGATATAAGAACCAAAGAAATAATGGTTAATACATACAAATGTGAATTACAAGATAATCCTACTTTAGCGTTAACGGACATTCAACAAAGGATTGCAGATAAAGTTGGAAGTTTGTTTGTGTTGAGATAAAGTCAAAAACTGATTTCAATGTCATTAAAGAATATAAAAGTACCCATACATTATCTGCACCGAAAACAAACCAAAATCGTTCAAAATCAATAGATGCTGTAGATGATTTTGATAAGTCAGCTATAAGAAGAATGGTATCAATATTTTTTTTTTCGCAATGAAATTCCTACAATTGATAAAGTCCTAAGAGATGTAAATAATGATAATGACTTACCAAATTTTAGGAGAACCACGTTTTACAAACTCTTACAAAAATTAAATTTTAAATTTCAAAAAACGTTGAAGAAACAGTTTGCTACTTGACAAAAACAAAATTGTGCTATGGCGGAGAAATTATTTGCATAAGATAAGAAAATATAGAGCTGGAAATAGAACCATTTATTACTTAGACGAAACATGGATAAATGCTGGCCATACAAAACCAAAAGTTTTGGGTGGATGCTTCTTTGACTTCTGCAAGACGTGCATTTTTAAATGGGCTGTCGACCGGCTTAAGAAATCCCTCAGGTAATTTAAATAAACTTTTAATAAACTTAAATTTTTTATTTATTATCTTTAATATCACTTTTAGGAAAAGGTAAACGATTTATAATCTGTCACATCGGAAGTGAGAATGGTTTTGTTCCGGATGCACTGTGGGCTTTTGAGTTAAGCAAGAGTGGAGACTATCATGAGGAGATCGATGGAAAGTCATTTGAAAATTGGCTCCAAAAGATTTTACCAACACTGGAAAAAAATGCTATAATTGTAATGGACAATGCCTCTTACCATTCCAGAAAATTGGAAAAAATTCCCATTATGGCTACAAAAAAAGCAGATATTCAAAATTGGCTTCGCTCAAAAGACATTCCCTTTGAAGAAACGATGTTAAAGGTGCAACTTTTAGCTCTGCTATCACTGCGAGCTCAATCCAATCGAGCTTGTATGGGCGGAAGTCAAGAATTATGTAGTATGGCATAACACAACATTTAAATTTGCTGACATTAAAAATTTATTCCATGACGCTATGTCTGCTGTAACCATGGAAAAATAGAAAAACTGCGTCAAACATGTAAAAGAAGAAGTGGAGCCAAAAATGTGTGAGTTGGACAATTTAATTGAGGCACAAATTGAGCTATCAACTTTAATGATGACAGCAGTACAGCAGATTCTGAAAGTTAAGATAAAATACGATAATTTTATAAACTTTTTTTTGTATACTTTATTTTATTGTTAATAACTCTCGACTTTATAAATCATTTTTATATTTAAAAAATTGGTGTACTATAATCTGTACCTCTCAGACGTCTACAAATTATATAAGGTTTTGTATTGCAGCTTTAATTTACTAGTCCGGCCCTGAACAAACGCGCGTTTCCAACGTGCATTTGTTTCCATCGTCCGTAGCTTGAAGTTGAATCTACTTTAGTATAATACAGTATATTTCCTATGGTCCTATAGTCTCTTTATAACGATTCGCTATATAACGATGATTCCTCTATAACAATGAAAATAGTAATCGTTATGGTTCGTCATAAGGACAATGTATTAATTCTTTCTCCATACCGATATCGTTCTCTCGTTATACCGATGACTTTTCATCATTCAATAGTCGATGATAAATGTGTTATTGTGCTTAAAGTTCAGACAACCTGCGTAACGAGTGGCAACGCCATTGTCCAGCGGTTCTTTTGTTTTGCGCCTAAGGAATGCGGCCACCCATTCTACTCATTCTCATTAGAGGATTAAGTGACTCGCTTTTGTTGTTCGGGCACCGTTATCACACAGATCTTGTCATCTATTGACGACTTTTCATTTCCAGTTTGAGTTGTGTCTCAGTGTTTCAACAGTCAGCATGTTTTCGAAAAAGCGTAAAGTGATCTAGGTGGATAAAAATTATCTATAACTCGAGCAATAGAGAAAGATAA